AAAGACAGGAAAAAAAACCAGTGGTCGGTAGCACTGGAAGCGTTGTGCGTACCATCTCGCTCTTCTATGTTTCATATTCTTAGTGGTTCAAATCCTCAAGAATATATTCTTGAATACTAGAATCGAATTTAAAGTGCAATCTCCGAAAGTTCGAAAGGAATAAAAAAGACGTGATTGATCCCTATGTTTAAGGAATCGGTATGAATGAATCAATGAATGAATGAACTTTATTTAAAGCCCGGCAGTTTTCACCGGCGAGGTAGGGGGAAAAATAATTACCCCTGTCCCTTCCCACCCTCCGTCGATTATGATGGTGGTGCCTCAGGTGATGGACCCGGGCTTATGATGGTGGTGCCTCAGTCCTTGGACCCGGCAGCATCTTCAGCTTGCCGGACTGCCCAAAACTGGTAGGCCAGCTCGTCGCTGGTGAGTGCCACCTCCCAGCATCCACGATGAGACATGCCATGGTGGTACATCTACATCCCGACGACTAACGCGGATAGAATGCAAATATCTTTGCCACAGACCGAAAGGTCATAAGTTCGACTCCAACTGATGGAACATTTTTTTTAATGCGGAGCATTTGTTAGTTGCACGATGCCACACCTCGGCGTAGGTGGCGCCATCCACACTCCCACTGAACATGCTCGGCTCGTCTTGTGCGGGCCCAAGAAGACATCTGCAAAACTGTCGCTCCAGGCGGGCGTTCAGCAAGCCGAATGTGGTGGCCCATAGAAGTGGCGTGCCACGATTGGCCCACCTTTTAGGATTACGTGGCGAGAAGCTTTGTGGCTGGGGACAAGCCGAAGCAGCGGGAGACGAAAGACAGCTGTCCGTAGCGTCGGACGCCGGTGATTCAGGTTCCGGCCTGGAAACGCGGCGGTCCACGCTACTGCCGTCCAACCACCAGCTGGGTTGGCGTTGCCGGCACGAGTACTGCATCTCGGGGCGCGGCCTGGCCTGCTGTTATGTTCCTTCCGATGGCATCACGGATCTCGGCGAGGCGTAGCTCCGCGGTCAGCCATTCGGCACAGCGACGGACGTGACCTGGCTAATGGTAACAGTTGCGCCGAGCATCGCACCTTGACGCAAGCTGTTCGCTGGGCGGGCTGGCCATTCCCTGCATGGAGCATCGCGTCTCCGATGTGGGTTGACTGCGTTTGTAGTCGGACCCACACCGTCAAGTGCCGTCGTAATCAGAGCGTCGCTCGTCGTCATGTGAGCCATTCGCGCCTTTTGCCCGCAACTTGCCCTGCACCTCAGCGTCCGTCATACCATCCATCCCGCGTACGATGAGGTTCCTCACCTTTGTTTTTTTTAAATTTGCGTGTATTGTTTTCACAATAGCTTAGCTGATTCGTCATGTTCATGCACTACATTTGTGTGTAACTTTCCTTCTTCTTATGTTATAAACATCGTGTTTGTTGTTACCACATCGTCTCAGACTCCATTTCTCCTCGCACGGCACGCACAACAAGCGTTGTCGAACTTGGTCTGTTCATAATTTTCATTACCCTGAGCCTGAGCAGGGGGGGGGGGGGGGACCTCTCCTTCCGTACTCCTCTCCCTCGAACACAGGTGGTGTGTATATAAAGCGGCGGAGCGCGCGTTCGGAATTCAGTCAAGGACGTCTTGGCTTTCCAATACAACCATGGCACCAAGCAATGAAGATACACTTCAGCTTTGCACTCTTTGCCTTCGCTTCTCCTTCATTAAATAAATAAGAAAAATGAAGACGAAATAACAATTAGGCATTTCCAAACCATATACAATTACGCAACTTTCACGCAAAGCCCCCACCAATCTCTGACGCATTTGCTCGGGTCCCCCTCCACCCTCTCGTTCCCCATCCTGCCGTGGTAAGATGTGGGTGGGCAGCTTTTTTTTTTCTGTACCATCTTGTCGCGTGCCCGATTTACGATGTCATTTTTTTTTATGAAAATACGTCACTCAAATTTCGGTGGACCCCGCCATCAAACACGTTCGTGTTAAAAGTTATGAATTTTATATAGTTATGGGCAGTCAAAATCAATCGTAACCGATCGAATTACGATAAGGCAGTTGAACTAAATGACAGTTCACAAGGTCAAATGACGCTTTAAATTGAAAAGATTATTTCTGCCCATTAAAATTACAGGTGACCAGAATATTTCTGTTGGCAGGATAACGCAGTCAGAACGTAAAAAATATACAACGCACGCCAATAATTACCCTTTTTACTGTACTTTTCCCTCCGTTGATTTTATGAATTACATCTAGATTGTGATATTGATTGTACTGAAAGTGATACTAATTTTGTACATTCTTGATACATGCATTGTAAACATTCAAGTTGGCTATATCGATTTGCTTCATTTCATTACCGACATGCCGGTCACCCCGCTGTGTTTACGGGAGCGAACGCTGTACAAACAGTTAAAAAAACAAAAAAAAAACAGGAAGACGCTTGACCTCCGCTTTCAAAAGTGATTTCGACGGCGTAATCGGGCCTCGTGCACATATATCTTTCTGAGCTGCTAGCCAACTTGTGCATGACTCAACTGTGCCGCGACGAAAGAGACGACTGTGCGCGCTTAACATTGGCCGTTTCAAAACACCCTTAAATGCTTATTGCAAGCTTCGTCAAGGGCTCGCCCGCTAGGACATAATTATTTTTTTGGCGAATCAGGGAAGGACCCGTTGCGCGTTCGTATAACACGTACGTGAAGCTACGCAGTTGTTCACTCTGTCGATGGTTCTTCTGATAAATGAATAGGTTTCCGTTCCTGCGCTTCTTCCACACAATATATATAATGCGTTCAACAGACCTCTTCCACTACATGACACTCCCAGTGTTATTTTTATTACTCATTGTTGTTCTTTTCTTAGCCCTGCTGTGGTGATCTAGTGGCTAAGGTACTCGGCTGCTGACCCGCAGATCACGGGATCAAATGCCAGCGGCTGCATTTGAGATGGAGGCGGAAATTCTGCATCTATATAGGCCTGTGTGCTCAGATTTGGGCGCTCGTTAAAGAACCCGAGGTGGTCGAAATTTCCGGAGCCCTCCACTACGGCGTCTCTCATAATCATATATGGTGGTCTTGTGACGTTAAACCCCACATATCAATAAAACTTTCTTTAATCAGTTTTCACAAATCTCATGACTATGTGGCATGACACTCGCTTGACCTGTTGACGGCTTGAGTTCGATCCTCATTCGGACCCGGAAATTTTTATTATTTATCTATTTTTTGCATCTTCGTCAATTTTTCGGTCGCGTACGAGATGATTTTGTTCTTGTTCACATGCATTTTTTTATGGCCCGCACCTGCTGTGGGAGATTGGCCAATAATTGGGTGGTATTTTGCTCCCAACCATATAGCATAACACCACCTGGTACACAACGCACACACGTTACTGCGCACATTTTAAGACGGCCTCGTGGGTGAATTAGTTCGAAAATATTTCACGTGCATAATTGCTCATGGCATAAAGCATTCCACTCATCACACGATGCAGCCCATATAGAAAGCTTCACTCACACAAGCCACTGAATTATCAACTACTTTGTGTACAGTAATCTGCAATTCGAACTTCTGGAGTTAAATATCAACCGATGAATCTGGTGCATGGTACAGCCACTGTTCTGGTGGCATATAGAAACCAGATTCATGCTAGAGCATGTTTATGAGAAAGTATTATTTGACAAAAGATAGCATCACATTCACCGACTTGAACAGGCAACTCGACATATGAAAGGACCTTTCCTACTAGTATGAAAACTCCGCCACTTCCGGAATTTTCATCTTTTCTGTATTGCGTGCTAGTTGCCTGAAAACATCTCATTGTCTGTATTTAGACACTTAACCATGACTCGGTTGCTAGGATTATTGTTGGCTTAATTCAGTGAATGAGCGCAGTACATTCGACAACTTTATTTTTAATACTTTATATACTTGTATACTTGTATATATATTTGTATACTTATACATTTATGCACACGTTCAATTCACAAGCTACGTAGAGATTCACAGAGTTCAAGTCTTTTACGCCCTGAATCTGCGCTTTTCTCAGTGTTATCAGCTTCCAGTGACGTCATAAAACACGCGATTGTAGCGTCGGCTCCGCTTTTCAAGATCAATGACGTGATATCAATGACGTAAGATCAATGACGTATAAGACTGACGCTGGTCGTAACATGCATTTTTACTCTCTCTTACAGTCAGCAGAAGCCTGATCAAAACTAGATAACTTGGATTCCGTCGACATTGCGCGTCTACTTAGGTCATCAACGGCATTCTTAGGCCTAGGATTCTTCAATGGCTGCAAGCTTTCACTTAATATCTGCCTGTCTAGTATAGTCTAACTTTTGCCGGTTAGGGGTACACGGGTTTTAATGAGAATGCGATGGACGGGAAGGCACTGGGAAAACTTGTACTCACGTTATATCTGAGTAACACGACTTTCAAAAAGTACACCGCACTCTGTGAGCAATTTACTACCATATGAACAGCAGCGGAACATTTACGCCCCGCGTTTGTGTTGAAAATTGCGCATTTGGCGAGTTAAATTATCTGCGCAATGGAAAAGCCCCAGCTTGAGGCTATAACAAGCCATAGGTGTAAAATTGGGGAGAATGCGGGAACTTACGAAAAAGGAAGGAAAATAAAAACATCGTAAGTAACCTTGTATACTGGCATCTCAGCATCGCTTCCCTTGCCTGCTGCGAATATTCTTAAGGTTTACTTTGTATATATATAAAAAAACGAATTGACGTAAGTATTTATAAACGACTAACTGCACAACAGCCAAGTGTACAAGTTGTGAGTACAGAAAAACGATAGATTATAAAGGTCAAGATAAAGAATGAGTGCTTCTCGCTGAGCACATCGTTTTCAGTCAAGCGTCAATGTCTTGGACATTGGCGCACATTCCCCACGAAGAGCACGACTGTGCTTGGCTTGTGGGTTCGCACTAGGAACATGAACGGATGGTCGGCCGTGAAATCGACAGCGCGCAGATCACGGCGGGTGACGACCGAAGCCGATCCTGCCGCTGCCTCGGTGCCTTCCTCGGTCACCTCGAGAGCGGCTCGGTGCAGGGCCACCGGACACGCCAGCACCACGTGGGGAGCCACCGCAGCCCGGTTTGCCGCGGTTCACCGTGACGCCCGAGAGGTCGGCGCGCGAAGTGAACAGATCGGTGACACCCATCGCTGACAGGGGACGACGCAGGTCAGAGGTCGTAGACAACTTGAAGCGGGGCAGCTTTAGACGGACCTGCACGCGACATCATGATGCAAAGAGGAATGCGTACTCTGCACGAGGCACACCTTCAGCACGCAGTCACGTCTTCCTCATATAGATTTTTTTTACGGAGACGAGGATCGCCTCCTTTCTGGGCTGTTAAGTGGAGGACAATGGCCGACGTCACAGCCTCAGTAGTGCTGTGAAAAAATTTTCTGGGCCACGCATGTTAAGAGCCCATGGCAGCGCCTTAAGAGCCTTCGCTGAGAAGAAGCATAGGCGTGGTCAAGATTTTTGATTAATTAAGAGGGGCCAATCTCACTACTGTCTCCCCCACCAACCACCGTTGGTCGAGTCTCAAATAAATTGAGCTCCATAATGCATGCAAAGATGAAAAAATACATCAATGACATGCCTTACACAAGGGTAGTAGAGTTGGTCCCTGGCTTTGCAAGGTAAAGATTAGAAGCAAACAGGAGATTGGGCGCAACATCATAGCCACCATCATTGTCAGAAAGTAGGCGTAGCCATTACAACGCGCATTAAAAATTATATGAGAGGCCCGAGTGAGTAAAGGTACGGGGCACAATAGATGCCCCAATTTTTTATGTTTGGGGGACGGGGAGGTAGCCGCCCACAAGTTAGTGTGGTACGCCCTTTCTAATCAGGTGTTCTGTCAAGAGACGGTTCGAAACGGCGTCGTTACGTGCGCACTGATAAGAGATTCGACATCGATTAAAGGTTAAATAAATAATCGGGACGAGACATGTACCGGCATAGCCCGAATACCTTGGTGATGCTGCTCATATTGTTGATCATGGTGGACAGCTGAGAGGGCGTCATGAGCTGCTCGAGGTCATCCAGACCGTCTAGCTTGTGAGGCAGTAGCACAACCATTGAAACGTTCTGGTTTCTGCGAGAAATGCCGACAAGTAGTACAACATGTACCGTATTGAAATGTCACTATATACGCCATAAAGCGCTTCCCGTCTGTTGTGGTAAAATAGCAAGGAACTAAAAGTATACAGATGGCCAAATCGAGAAAACCATTTTTCTTTCTTGCAGGATTGAATTTCAACACACAACCATTCCATTGCGTGTTTCTTTTTTTTTTTTTGGTAGGAGTGGGCATACTTGAAGAGGAGAAGCGAGGTGGCGGATGTGGCTCCTCGTCCTCAGCTGAAATTACCGCTGCCATTGGTACGACAAAATGGTTACGTAGATAGGCAAGTTCTGCCACCACCAAACCTAATCGAATGTGAAGTTCATCGGGAGCGCCTGAGGAGCGTGAAAATGAACTGTTTCTTGCCTGTACGGAATCGAGACCAGGCTAACTCCAAGGCCTTCGTGGCGCCCGACGGCGAAGCGTCCCGTCCTGTACATCATCTTCACCTTGCGGCTGCGCGTGGGCGTCTCATAAAAGGGCTCCTCCGCGGTGAGCTCGGGATCGAACAACTCCGCCCAGCTGCCTCTGAAGTAGACGGCATTCACAAGCGCCACGCATGTACCCGAGTCCACCGAACCTGGCGGCAGCAGCTCCGCAATCTTGGACGCCGTCTCCTGGAACACCCAGCCGTTGATGGCACGCCTCGTGGCTTCTGTGTCGTTGTCGAAGTCGACGTTGGCCACCGAGGCCCTGTACGACGAGCTGACAAGCGCCGCGTACTCCGGGGCCAGCCGTACGTCGAGGCTCGCGTACAGCCGGTTGGCAAAACGAAGACTCACTGTCTCCATTCCATCGCTGTCGTAGTTGAGACTCCCAATAATAGAACTGAACGCGTCGTGGATGACGTCATCGTCATCCAAGGCACGGGGATGTCCGCTCGAGACGCTTCGGGATGATATCTGTGAAGTATACAGGGAGCTTCTTGTGGCAAAGTGGCCGTGGCTGAAGTGTGAAGATCTCAATGTGATGAGTGTATTATGACGTATATTACAAAGCAAACATTAGCGAAATAAAAGCAGATACAATGCAGAGACAGAATATAGGATGGGATGACGGATCCAGCTCTTCTGGAAACGGTGTTTCCAGAAGAGATGGACCACGGGACGCATACGCGACGTTCCAGAATCAGCAGCATTCCTCATATTCTACAGGGTCAATTCCTCACAGCGATGTGTTGACCTCGGCATAGCGCTGACGTCCCCAGAAAGACAGATTATCACTCCAGAATTACCTGAAGGTCATTTGTAGCAAAAACCAGGAAAAGGGGCACCGAATGGAAAAGTCTGAAAAGTACATGAGTTTCTCGGGCGCTTAAGTACTGTCCGATTGTCCACCGACTCGCTGAGAGGGAACGTTCAACAATGAACATGAGCCACCTTGAAGCATGGTCGTTGCAAAGCGTGAACTGAATGTTGTACAAGAGTGCTTCACGTGACTACACAGCTATATTTATTTTAATTCAGTTGTCAAGACGTACGCCTTCGACGAACAGAGCTCGGATCTGCCTGGCGGTGTTGTTGCGGGCGCCGGCAAGCGTCATTCCCAGTGCAGCCGCGATGGTGAGCGGCGAACACAGCAGGTTGCTGGCGTTGGCCGCACTGTCCGCGCTGAGAAGCTGCTTGTAAAGGTTCACCGAGAAAGTGAACAGCAACTGTCCAAAAGCAGCTTCCATTGCAGCACTGCGACAAAATGATACCAGGGAACGCGTACGCATATGTACATCATCGCTATATAGGGCTGGTTGATTCGGAAAGCATGGCTGATCCCCCCATCATAGGAATCGGCACAACACGAAAGTAAAACTTGTCCTTGTGGAAGTAGTAGAATGTTTAATGTACACTGATGTAGGAGACCTTGCACAATGTCTATTGGTATGAGGCATGCGCCCACATTGACGCTTGGCGGGGCATCTCCATCCCGATGACTAACTCATAATAAATAATTAAGCAAACCCTTGCGGTAGCTGCAGTAGTGAATGGTGAGAGCATTAAAGGTTGGACAGTCAGAAGAGCGTCGCAGACTGGACGCATAAGTTGGGTTAAGGTCGCCATCACGCGCCATAATAAGAGTGATTGAAAACCGCAGCCGAACCTAAAGGGAAACGCAACGTGCGCCATGTACGTCTTCCCTGAGCCCGGGCGCTATCTTTCTCGGGGCGAACGTAAACGGCGAACGCGATGTTACAACCAGGCGAGGCAGGCGCGCGTCGCAGAGTTATTTTTGATATGACTGTTAGTGAGCCAGACACTGGGGCTACGGTCACAACCTCGTGCTGTGTTGAGACGTAAACAAAACTGCACTTCTACAATTGAAAACGCGCCGAATGGGAAGGGCGCGTATCAACGGCAAGTTGCAGGAGCTAATCACGTAAGCTACGGCGATGATGCATTACTAGAGCACTGTGAGAGGAAAGTGTGAGATAGAGGAAGTGCGTCAGTAACGCTTTTATGTTGGGGACCATGCCACAGTGCACTCTGCTTTTGGACGCCGGTCGGTGCAGACGCAGGATGGAGAGCTCGTACCGAGCAGCGACAGCAGCCGACGCCGGCCGCAGTATAGCATTTCCCATCGTTACAAAGGACTACAGGATTATTCTGCCTTCGTCTCCAACGGCTGAAGCGATATGTCGTGCAGTAGCTCTACACTGCGACGTCAGCGGCCGACCGTATCGTATCGACGACTTCAGAAAACCTTGTAAAGACTTGGGCGTCATACAGCAAGTAAGTGGGATCGGGACATATCATATTGTTGCACGTGTGGTTATTGAACATGAAGACCGAGAAAGCGAAGAAAGCGCTGACAGAAACAGGCGTTCTCATAGTTAAAGACCGGGCATGTCTCGTCATTGACCCGACGCAGCAAGAGGTTAAGATGAAATTTAACTGGCTAGCATTTGATGTTACAAAAGACGCTATTCGACATGCCTTCTATGAATACGCTGACGTCACGAAGGTGACCGATGACCGATGGAGAGTCGAGGATTTTGAAGGAGTTGAATCGACAACTCGTGTAATACGCATGCAACTACTAGACGGCATTTCTGTAGATGAACTGCCGCATCAAATTCGTGTTGGCAGCCGTATGGCACTGATCGTAGTGCCAGGAAGACCTCCTTTGTGCTTGCGGTGCCGAAGCACGTGACACATGCGACGCGATTGCTAAGTTCCAAGGTGAAGCAAATGCTACTCTTTCGGTCATGAGCAAGATGAGTGCAACCTTTCGTACACCCGAGCTGCAGGACGACGAAGAGGAATCAGAACAAGCATCTTTGCCTTCAACATCACAGAAGCAAACGACACTGGACGACGCGCTGGTGCTGAACAAAATTAAGAAACTTTCTTCAGGCCTTGACACGAACGCCGAGTGGAGGATGGGAAATCCAGCGGCCACTGACTGTACCTCGACGACGAGCGAACAGACGCGTCCTGCGCCTGCGATGCACGCCGCGTCACAGCCGCAAACAACGGGCCCTGAAATGTCGGCGTCATAGGCCAAAACCACTTCGACTCTTCTAAACTCGGCTTCACAGCATTCATTGGGGAACGAAACACATGAAAATGGAGGTTTGCTTGGCGACCTGGATATCCCAAGGATGGAATTAGAATTGGCGTCTGCGAAACGCCTTCGCGACTCGGACGACGGCGCTCGATTAGACGAAACACAAGTGTAGTCGGAAACGCAGTGGAAGGTGGTCAGCGGAGGCAAGAAACGAAACGCTGCCCGACAACAGTCGTCGAACTTGACGATGGCCACGCAAACTAAAGGTGAACAACATGGATCCACCCTGGACGACGAGAGCCCGACAAGTGAAAGTGCAGGGCTCTCAGCCTGGACCCGCTCACCGATCACGTCGCTGAGCGGGTTCGTGAAAGCAGCGACGCTCAACGTACGAGGATTGGCTTCCAGAAAGAAAGAGACCCAACTCTACAGACTAGCCGTGGACCGGGACCTGGACGTTATTGCAGTCCAGGAAACCAAAGAGGAGAGCGTAAACCCACCGAGAGCCCACTGCAACGTTTTACCGGACGCTACAGTGCCAGCGTCAGTCATGCAGTTGGTAGGTCGGCAGGGTGTGTTATCTTTGTGTGGGATAGTTTAGGTGCCACTGTTCAAAAGGTCACGTCTGATTCACCAGGAAGGTTTGTTGTTTGTTATTTGGCCTTCTTTTTTTTTAATTGGCGAGTGATTTGCTTATATGCACCTGTTAAAGATGATTGACGGTGCGCAACATTCGAAGAAATTCGTGCTTATTGTGAATGTGATCGTATAATTATCCTGCTGGGAGATTTTAATTTTGTGATCAGTGGCGGTGATAAAACAAGTACACCCAATTTTAACGACTGAAGCACAGTAGCGTTAAGGAATTTAATGTCTGACTTACACCTTGAGAATGTTGCAGAGTGTATATTGGTAAAGGACCAACACTGTATACGCATTTTCAAGGTTCAGTCATGCGCGCCTAGATAGGGCCTACGTGTCACTAGAACTAGTTCCGATTATCAGTGAGTACAATGTGCTCTCTGTTTTGTTTGGTGATCACTGCTTAGTATCATTTGTGATAGGCAAAAGAAACAGATGTAGACCAGTAGTTCACTGGGACATGTGGAAGCTTAATTCTAATCTCTTGGAAGATGATACATTTATGGGCAGTGTTCAAGAGGCGTTGGTAAACATAGACAGTGGAGACCAAAAATGTGGAGTGAAATGGGAACGATTTAAACAGGTTATTAAATTGAAAGCTATACAGCGCTCAAGTGTAAGAAAACACGCAAAGAGTGAAGGAGAAAGAACCCTACCCTTAAATCTGAAAGAACTGCTAGCAAAAGAGAGCAAAACGCCAGGCTTATTCATTAATGACATAAGGTCAGTGAAGGCAAAATTGGAACAAACTGACGAGGAGAAATATCGTTGTGCGCAGATAAGGGCAAGTGCGGAAAAAATTACCGCAGGAGAGAAACCGACCAAAAGAATGCTCGGTCTCGAAAAACGAAACGCTCCGCGGAACGCTCTACATCAGACTGAATGCATGGGTAATGTTACAAATGAACATGCAAATTTATAGAGGATGCTTTCAATGAGTGCTACACCACACTATTTGATAAAAGTGAAGTAAATGTAGTTGGATTCAAGAATGAATTTTTAAAATTAATACCAAAGGTTGAATATTGCAGAAAAGACAGCTTAGAATTTCCTATTTATGAAAGTGGCAAAAGCAGACATTGCCCTCCATTTGGGAAAATCCCCAGGACCTGACGGGTTAACGGTCGCCTTTCACAAGGAATTTAAACACGAACTAGCACCGATCCTAGCAGTGGTTTTTAACGAAGCTTTCGACATAAAGGTTCTGCCGTCTTTTTTTTCTGCTATCCCATACTATATTAATTTCACAAACTGAAGACGGAGTCAAATTAAGTGAAATCGCACAGGCCAATCAGTCTATCAAATATCGGGTACAAGATTTTGATGAAAGTGTTAGCAAGGAGACTGTAGACAATTATTATTAACATTGTAGGCGACCACTAGGAATGTGGAATTAAAGGGCGCACTATATTCACAAACATTCACAAGGCTTAAAGTGTATTGGAGTGCTGTGATGCCACAAGCAATAACATTGCGATGATCCAGATAGATTTAGAAAAGGCATTTGACTGATTACCCCACGAAATTCTTTTTCTTTTGTTAGACTATGTCAATGTTGGTTACGTAATTCTCGATATAGTTCGAATGGCGTATACTCGATGTAAAACTCGGATAATCATCAACAAAGTTCTTGGGAAATAAATAATGTCAAACGTTCATTGCGACAAAGTTGTCCTTTGTCTTCCCTTCTATTTTCAATTTATATACAGTCATTTTGCCAAAAAGTCGTGAAAATCAGTACATAGAAGGGTACAAACTACAAGAAGCTGAAGTCCGGGTATACTGGCATACGCAGATGATATAGCTGTGTTTTGTAAAGATTATGAAAGTATTGCTGAAACCATAAAAATCATGAACCTTTTTTTGTGATACGAGTGATGGCAGTTTGGTAAACTGGAGCAAGTGCGCGGATTACCGGCACGGCGAATGGCCTGTGACTCCAAAATTCGTGGCTGGTATTTCATGGACTACTACTTCAGTACGATACCTAGGTGTGCCATTGGAATATTATTGTGACACTGAACCGTACTGGCGGCGTCAGGCCGTGGAGCTGCGATAAAAATCTGAACAACTTGAAGGTTTCCGGCTATCAATATTTGCCAGAGCGACCTTTTGTAACATATTTTTAGACAGTAAGCTCTGGTATGTCCTTCAAGTATTGCATTGTTCACGTGTGAATGTACAGAAGCTTCATCGAATATTTCCTGTTGTCTTGTGGGGTTCTTTTTGGGAGCGAACAAGTAGAACTAACTTATTCAGACGGTTTCGCTCTGGTGGGCTTGGTCTGTGTCATTTGTACCTTCGTCAGTCGGTTAATCAGTTCATGTTTTTTTCTTTTGCGAAATAATTGAGACCCATTCATACGTACTGTTATACAGTTTAGACTTGGGAGACGGTTGCCTGAATTTGTGGTAGCATCTGGTCACATGAAAGCAAGCATTATTAGAGGTTACCTAAAAGGTGTTGTTGATTCATGTCTCTTTCTAAAAACACGTTTTTCATTGGAATATCTCGGTACAGTTTCGCGTAAAA